GGACCAGGGTCTGTTTAAACTATGTAAGACTTTGCTCTGGAAGCAGAGGTGATTCTGGGATTATTTTCAGAGTGAATAAATCTCTGCTCTTTTTTCCCTTGGTTCCAGCCAATTGTAAAATGAAAGGAGAGCTTGGAATTTTCCCTAACAGACTGTTCTTCAAGTAAACCAAATATATAAGAACAGACAATTACTCTGAAGAGCGTGGCTTTTCATTATTTCAGTATGTTTGGTGGTTTGAACCAATAATGAGGGACTTAAACTTAGAATGTACCTTAGGCTGAGAGGTCCTGGCTGAGAATGAGGTCCATGCAGTTGTGGGCACATTATCAGCACATTATCATTCTGTCTAGAGTTAGGACATCTCTCCTCTTCCTCTCCAGAACTTAAGTAACTTGAGGGCAAGGCCAGAGACTAGTTCCAGATGGTTGTGCATGCACTTTAGCGGCCTGCCTTGGATTGCCTCTATAGCTCGACTTGGCTTGTCTGTCTTATTTCTTCTGGTCTAAATAAACTCTCAAGCCCCAGCTCTAAAGATATTTCTTCCACCTTGCTTTCCTATTCTTCCCTTCCATCAACAGCTGATCATTCTTACATCACTAAGCTCCTGTTGTCTTCACTGCCCTAACTGCATAGTTGCTTATATCACAATTCTTTTAATTCTTACGGCCACTGCTAGCTTTCCCATGCCTGAATGGATGTCCCCACACCCCTGCACATCTGGGCAGCACTAACTGGACTTAATTGATTATGCAAAAAATGAAGTTGGGAGGGGCTATGGGGGGAGTAGGAGTGTAGATGTACTTCATTATATACATGTATGAAATTCTCAAAAATAAAGAAAAATAAAAAGTGTGTTTGCCAGGTGACTTGAAGCTGTGTCTAACATAGTACTCTCCATACTCAATATATATATTATATTATACAATTATGTTAATTACTCAATTCTTTTGTTTTCTTTTTGTTTTAGTCCAAATAATGCTAATGTATTGCTTGTTTGTTGAGAAATTTTTTATTGCTGTACATGGCCATGTTACCAAACTTGGGATGTGGTCTGTACCCTAAGAAGTCAAATTCAGCCACCTTTCCTTGAGAAGTCAATTAAAACAGCCAAACTAATAGTAAAAAGCAGAAAAAGGAGATTATTTTCAATGTGGGCACATCGGGAAGAGAGACAAAGAGATCCAAGATGAGATCCCAAGTCCATCTTCTAGTCCTGGCATGAGATTAAAGTTTAAACAGAGGAGCAGGCATATGCACATCTAAGTAATCTGGGTCAAGGTGTGGTCATGCCTACCATTGACCCATCATTGTTTGGGCTTCAGACTCATCCTGTAAGGTGGCCTGACAAATTGTCAGAAGCAGTTAGAACTAGGAAATCTATATTCAGGGAGACAAAGGCTCTCAGCATTTTCCTTCTCCCAGCATGAGATTCTTGTGGGAAATTTCTCATTTCTTGGGGTCTGTTACTCCGATAGTCTGATAGCCACATTTCAGAGCACAGGTGTCTTTTGAGAATATCTTCATTTCTGCCAGACCAGTTGCAGCTGTACTACCCTGAATTAACCCAATTGTTTCTGATTTTAGCAAAGCAGGGTAAGACCTCACTAGTAATTACATGGGAGAATTTCTTACTGTAGCACTAACCAAATATTTTTTAGCTCTATCTGAGTATATGGAACTTAAAACTCACTCACATTGTCTGCCAGTGGTTAAATTCCATTTGGTTTCCATTTCTTAGAAAAAGCACATAGTGAAAAGTTCAGAATGATCAAGTTTCTGCTTAGCAAGAGCTTGCAAAATGAAAGCTTATATAACACATTTTTCAAAGATTCATGCCTGACCATACATTGTGCCAAGCAACTGTTCTTAGAAAAGACAGAAGAGTTGGGGGTGAATGGAGGAGACAAAGTTTGAAATATTTGAATGTATTCACACCCCCTCTGGGACTCTGAGGAGAATTTTGCTCTTACACACAACCGCATTGAAAAGAGGCAATCTGTCCTGTGGATGACGAGAGTCTAGCTTTGTATCTTCTTGAACTGTCATTTTTTTCTTCCTTAAATAAATTTGGTGAGGCGGTAATGGTTAACTCATGGATTCCTTCCTAGTTGCAGCACACCCAAAGCCTTTATGGCACCTTTTAGGATTGCTGTTTTTCCTATGATATAGGAACTGGCACACTGCCAGTGAGTGCATGTCTGTGTGTATGGTTCACAGACTGTAAAGGAAAGGCAGTCTGGAACCACATCACATAGTGATTTACTTTCTCCGAGCACATTCTTTAAGGTTCATGTAAGTGCTGTCCTGGAGAAATTTCCCCTTGACCTACTAAGATTTCAGTAGTATACCCTCCTTTTGAAAATCACTGCAGGCTATATGGTCAACAATCTTTTATTTGAAATACTTAGGTTCAGCGTTTTTAAAAATTTAGTATATGTGCAATTTTGAATTATGCTCCATAATCTCCTAATGAAAGCTGGAGTACTGACCTATAATCAAATGTGATAAAACTTCTGCAGGGTAACATAAAAGTGAGACTTAGCTGTGTGACAACTCAGCTCATGGTTTTTGAGCTCACTGTTACTGAACTGTGGGTCAGGGTCTGTGCTCCCAAGAAGCCAGGTTCAGTTCACTGTCCATGACAAGCCAATCAGCACAGCCAAATTAATAGTAAAAAGCAAGAGATTTACTCAATGTGGCCACATTAAAGAAGGACAAAGAGATCCAGTGACCCTCTCTAACTTCAGGGTCCTGAAGTCATATTAAATAGAGGGCCAGGGATATGCAAATCTATGCAGTCAGCTCAATGTGAGGGGTCCCACCCATTACTGACTCATCATTATTTCTGTAACCTTGTAAATCTCTTTCCTGGAGAGAAGAGTTTGGAGAAAAGTTTCCTCCTGACTGGCCCAGGCTTCTCTTCTCCCAGCATGAGATTCCTGAGGAAATTCCAATGTCTTGGGGTCCATTATTTTAACAGTCTGATAGGTAAAGTGTCTCATTAGAATATATTCATTTCTTCCAGTCTGGTTACATCATTACCTCCAGAAAGGTTTTATGGTCAAGTGAGTTCTTACTTATTTGCTATCAAAGAATTGTGAACTTATGACTTGCTTCATCAACAGAGCAGAAATAATTTATGTAGGATGATTATGTCACATAATTCTCATCCCATTTCCTAGCACAAAACTGCCACATTCAGTGCTCATGTAGCATTGAGTTATTACTGATGAGATGGTAGAGATTCGCCTCATGATTTAATCTAAGCTGGCCACATTTCCCAGAGCAAATGTACATAAAAGTAGTGGAATTGTCTAAAAAAATTATTTTCTGGAACTATTTCCATTATTTCCAAATAATGGAAAAGAAAATCTATGACTGCATAGCTCATACATACTTTTGGTTTAAAAGGACCAGAAAGTAGAGAAAAGTCTTTTGAGATGAATATAGATGTGTTCTAAATTAGTATTGATATTCTCTGTTGGAGGAAATTATGTTTGCAGGTAGACAATAACTAAGACCAAGACAGGAACATGGTTACTATTAGGTCAAACTGTGCCCTAAGATGGAGTCACTACTGACCAGCAACATGGTGATCACAACCTGGTGGGCAGCATTCCGGGAAACAGAAACTAAACCATCCTAGTTTCTCATTAACCACCTGACCTTTGTTTTAACAATGTACCCTGGTCATAACAGCAATTTTCCATCGAAGCCAACCGAAAAACTGAAAAATATCTAACTGAACCCTCATCCCCCAAGACACCTGCTACTGACTCACCTTCCTCCTATAGTCTTACCTCTCCCTACCCACAAAAGAAAATCCTATAAAATCCACCCTGCAGTGACGAGAAACCACTGCTCCCTTTCTCCTGTGGGAGCAGTCCAGCAGCTTGTACTTCCCAATAAATTTCTTCTTTTCTCACCTCAGAGTGGTTACTAGTGGTCCTGGTCTTTTCACGAACCTAACAAGTACAAGATGAACACTGCAGATATGATATTTTGAGCCAAAAAAATTTATGCGCTGTCACATTGACTTGAAAATTCCAGACAGAAAATATAGAAGTGTCCCCAGACCTTGCTTTTGAAATTTAAAAGTTATGTTTATATTGAATATTTCCTGACTATATTGTTTCTATAACAATAAGACTAGATTTGAAGTTGATAGACTCTCCAATAACTATATACACAGTCTAAATTTATAACAATTTGTATCTGACTGAAGAGACACAAATTAGTTTCAGAATCATATTCTATTGGAGTTGAAAGGCACATTAGAGGTAGCTTAATTGTGAGCTCTACAAAAAAAGGGGGTGGGAGGTGGAGCAGTGTGTCTAAAATTTATTGCCTAGAAAACTCAAATTAAAATTAGAACTCAGGACTTCTGATCTAGTCCAGATTTTATAAAAACCATATTATCGGGGTTTAAGAGCAATAAACGATAGAATCTTTTCACTGACATGAGAAGGTGGCAGTGAATTATTTTCAGCTAATTATTAGCTCTCATTCAGCCTGGAGAACTGGACTCTACCAGTTAGGTGATGATGAGCTATAGACCAGATCTGCATGACACTTATAGTGATCTATTTTATTTGAGGGTGTCTTTTAAGTTTTTTTTTTTCTAAATTAAAAAAAATTTGCTTCATTTTTATTTTATGTGTATGCATGTATTGCATGCATGTATGTATCCAAGTGCACCCATGTCATGCAATGCCCTCAGAGGACAGAGGAGGGAGTTGGATCCCCCGGAATGGTTGTTAGCTGTCATGTGGCTGCTGGGATTCAAACCTGGGTCTTCTGCAAGAGCAGTTATCAATCTTGTTGGTGTGAAGTAGTTTTGAGTAATTGGATATCAATGTGATGTGAGAGGTAAGATTTGTGTTTCTAGACCTTAGCTTTTGTGATGTGCCTAGCTGCTCTGAATTAGAACTGACCAGATATGATTTGCAATAGAATCCATCTTTCTTCCTCTAGCGTCCTGGAGATGTACCACTTACCGAGAATTTCCACAAGCCTCCAACATCATTGCTCCTTTCAAAGCAGGTGGGCTCCAGCCCTTCCTCCAGACAGCACCGTATGGCAGCCAAGCCACTGACCCCAGCTCCGATGATGGCCACTTTTTTGACCATGGTTAGAGACTATCAAAAGAATTTCTTCAGAAGACTGTCCTTTAATGCTTACGTTGTTTTCAGTAGAAATTATCAGTCAAGATTGATGTGCCATGATCTTCACTTTACCACAAGAAGGCACAGGTGCACATTATAGTTTGTGCTCGTTATTTGTACTGTTTTTGCTATAACATACAAACTTTCCTTCTGATTATTCCGCACTCTCAGGAATACCCAAGTCAGTGACTTCTAGAGCAGGTGGGATCTTAAAGATCACCAAAAATTCAAATGAAGCTTTAAGAGCTTGGAATTCAAACTCACTTCTCCAAGGTTTCAGAGATAAAAAAAAGGGGGGTTCAGAACTAGAAATTAAACCTTCATTGTGGAACCCACTGTGCCTGGTCACTTCAGTGCACACTCAGTGCCTGACTCCTAAATCAACCACCTTCCTTCTTTCCAGAGAACCAGCAGCTCTCCACATGTAGAAGAGAATGGCTTTTAATAATGTCTTTTGATGGAAAAAATTGACAAAGGGGGAGGAGTTATTTGTCTTAAAGCAAAAACAGAAATTAAACCTTCATTGTGGAACCCACTGTGCCTGGTCACTTCAGTGCACACTCAGTGCCTGACTCCTAAATCAACCACCTTCCTTCTTTCCAGAGAACCAGCAGCTCTCCACATGTAGAAGAGAATGGCTTTTAATAATGTCTTTTGATGGAAAAAATTGACAAAGGGGGAGGAGTTATTTGTCTTAAAGCAAAAACTTTTCTTTGCATTTTTTCAAGGTGCAGAGCTCTACTAAATCCTAGATGAGGAGGACAGAGCGTAGCAGGAATTACATAACGGGAGGGGATGAAGCAGCAAGAAAGAAAGGGATGGTGGAAGATTGTGAATGAGCTTGCTGATTCTTGGTTGTAAAAAATAAAACAGTGATTGATAGGGCCACCAGGGTGTAAAGTAAAACCCCTGGGAGATTATGGGGCCAATAATTCTTTTCTTTGTTCTTACTTTGAAACTACAGAATATGTAAACAAAAGCCAAGCACCTGCACTATAAGGAAAGAGCTTGTTGTGACAACAGTGAAAAAATAGTTTGAATTTCTGGAAACTTAGAAGGGCTTGACCTGAGGAGCTGACGAAAATGGTGAATGTAAAGTGCAGGCTGTGAAGTCACCAAGTCTTTTCTCTCTATCCCCCTCTTAAGTGCGTCCCGGCCTTTCCTACTTTTCTTCACCTTCTCCTTTGCTCCCCTTTCTTTATTCCTTCTTTACTGAGTGCCTGACTTCTCTTAGGGGTTCACAGAGGGGCAGACAGGCTGCTTTACATCTAGAAACATGCAAGGAACATCTCCATGGAAGGAGATGGAGATCATGATTTAGAGCTGTGCTTTCAGGCAGGAAAAATCATCCAAGTTCCCCTTCAAGAGGAAGTGAGAAGATTATTGAGTTTTAGAGGAAGACCAAATGTTTGCCAACCAGGGAAAAGAAGCATTTAACAAGTATGAAGAAAACTGTGTGCAAATAGAAAAAGAAGTGAGAGAACACACGGAGTGAGCTACAGCTCTTTCCGTGGCAGAGTGAGTCCAAGTCATTCCGAATTGCCGGACCTTTGGGGTATGGGAAGTACCGTACTCCAGGGTTTGGATGCTCTCTTCTAGGTTAGGTGATTCATACATGAATTCTGCTAACTATAGGCCTGATTCAAAAGACATTCTTCTGTCTCTGAGATTCTGTTATGATTTAGGTATATTCACTCATTTCTTTTTTTTTAATTTTAAAATTTATTATTTTTATTTTATGCGTATGAGTGTATTGCCTGCAAGTAGGTAAGTACACTTGTGTTGTGCAATGCCTGTGGAGGTCAGAAGAGGCCGTCGGATCCCCTGGGACTGGAGTTATAGACAGTTGTTAGCTGCCATGTGGATGCTGGGATATGAACCCAGGTCTTCCGAAGCAAGAACAGTCAGTGTTCTTAACTGCTGTCACTCATTTCTTTATAAAAATATTTATTTATTTTTATTTTACATGTATGAATGTTTTGCTTGCATGTATACAAGTGCAGCACATGTGTGCCATGCCCATGGAGCCAGAAGAGGACATTGAATCCCCTTGATCTGGAGTTACAGATGGTTGTAGCTGCCATGTGGATGCTGGGAACTGAATCTGGATCCTCTGCATTCAGTGCTCTTAACCTCTGAGTTATCTCTCCAGCCCCTCACTCATTAAAAATATTTTTACTGAATTTTTGTAATTTTCATACAATATAATTTGATGGTATTTAGATTCTCTCCCCTATTCTCATCTCCCCTTACTGCTCCCTGTCCAATTTAATGTATTCTATTATACATATAATGAGGCCTATAGAGTCTAATTTGTGTCCTCAAGTGTCCTTCAGTGTGGGTTCATCCACTGGAGTCTGGTTAACCTACCAAGAGTCCTAACCTTGAAAGAGGCTGTCTCTCCCTCAACAGTAGCCATCAATTGACCAAATTACTTAATTTGGATTGGGGTTTCTTACCCATTTTCCCATGTCTATGCTGGAATTTTGTCTGGTTTGAGCTTGCATGGGATTTGTATATGCTGCCACTGTTGCTGTGAGTTCATATGAGTAACTGACTAGTTGTCTGGAAAACTCTGTTTCTTTATGGTCATCTACCACCTCTGGCTCTTACAGTCTTTCTGTCTTTTCTTCCACAATGATCCCTGAGCCTTGGGAGGCAGAAGTTTGATATATGTGACCTGTTCAGGGATAAACATTCTGCAATATCTTGTTCTCTGCACATTGGTCAGTTTGGGGTTTGGGTGTTAATTGCCATCTGTGGCATAAGAAACTTCTCTGGTTAGAGTTGAGAGATGCATTAATCTATTAATCAAGTCACTAGGAATCAGTTTAATACTATAGTAGAAAACTTGTACTAGACTCTACCCTATACCCTCTGACCTATCTAGCCTCAGGTTCCTAAGCCTGATATCAGTGTCTGGTATGGGCTTCATCCTATGAAGTTGACCTTAAACCTTACTATTCATGCCGCTATTGCACTGGTGGACATATCTTGCCAGGCAGGTTGTTGTAATTCACAGGATTCATAGCTGAGTAAGGTTGGTGACTACTTTTCTGGTAGCATGCATAGCACCTTTCAGCACTATGAAAGCTAGCCAGTAGAGATGAGGCTCTGAAGTGAGGCAAGGAACTAAACAGGGAGTTCTCTAAAGATAAAATACAATTGGCTGAGAAATACTTAAAAAAATTTCAACATCATTGGCCATCAGGGAAATGCAGATTAAAAACACTTTGCTATTTCATCTTACCCCACTCAGAATGACTAAGGTCCCATAAAACAAACAATGAGAAATGCTGGTGAGGATGTGGAGAAAGGGAACTCCAAAAAATTTTTTTAAATTTAATGTTTTATTGAACTTTTGTGTATTTCATGCAGAAAATCATCTTTATGCCCCTTTCCCCCTTCCCCTTTGACACCCTCCCAGACCACCCCCCACCAGAGTGCATACATTCTGTCATTTGTTTTAAGGCCTATTATGTAAAGTTAGAGTCCCAAGATGTTCCTCAGTGCAAGTTCAGCCACTGAGGTTTAGTCAGCCTATCTAGAGTCTCTCCTTTCAAGATCAGCTCTTCCTCATCCAGTAGTAATCAGCTGCCAAAAATTTCTCTACTAAGATTGAGGCTTACTGTTCATTTCCACAGTTCTGTGCTGGGTTTTTGTCTGCCTAAGTTTGCATGGATCTTGTGCATGCTGACACCATTGCTGTAGGTTTGTATGAGAAGGGTCCCAGGCGCCCGTAGGACCATTTCCATATGGTAATGCACCTTCTCTCTGGCTCTTACAATCTTTCTATCTCCTCTTCCTCAATGGTCCCTGAGCCCTGGGTTTGTGGACCCATACTCTGTAGACTCTTATTCTCTGTATTTTGGCCATTTGTGACCTTTTGTGTTCCTGGCCCTCTATAACCTCTCCAGCTATCTATATTTGCCTAGGTTTACAGTACCACACATGAGTTTCTGCTCATTGGATGGGCTTTAAGTTCAGTTAGACAGCTTGATTACCCCCAAGATGTCATTTGCTGTGCTGGTCATTGATGTGGTTTCTAGGCCTTTGTTCTCCCCTACCAGTTTGCATAGTGCTCTCCAGAGCTATGAGATCTAGTCTTCAGGGAAGGTGGCTTCCAGGTCAGTTTGAGCTCCATAACCCCAAATCCTGTGTCCCAAATATGTCATATCTTCAGTGATAGGATCCTACTATCAAGTTCTGGGAGGCAGTCAAGAATTGTGGCAACAGCATGTGTAATTTTGGGAGTCTCTTGGACTACCCTAGCTAACAACTCAAAGGAAGGTTTCTCCTGTCTGGCACTGTTTCTTGTTATGTAGTCTTTAGCTAACTCACAGACTCACATAGGGATATTGTATGTGTAATTTTTCAGCAGGTTTTTGGACTAATACAATTCCTTCTGGTTTTTTATACTAGCTGGGCACTATTTATTTTTCCTCTTTCTCTCCTTGTCTTATCTTCCCTCCCCACCCTTCTAGTTTAGAATGTTCCCATTTTCCCATTTCTCTCTTGATAATTTATGTCTGCTATGGTCCCACCTCTTTTGAGCTTTCTTTCCATTTATTCCCATAATTCTTTGTATAGCTCACCTTCTCCCCTCCCATTTAACTACCCCCTTTTTACACATTTTCCCCTTAGTAACACCTGTCTCCTATTACTCTTCTCTCTTGGGTTCCTTCTTTCCCTTTACCTCCCTGGTTCCCTTCCATTTTCCTGGTTCCTGCAGTTACATCAGGATATGTACTCACATGTAAGGATTTGGTACTGGGTAGAATTCCATTGTGTAAATGTACCACATTTTCATTAGCCACTTGTCAGTTTAGGGGCACTTAGATTGCTTCCATCTCTTAGTTATTGTGAAAAGAGCAGCAACAACCATGGTTGTACAAGTGTCTCTGCAATAGGATTGAGACCCTTGGGTATATGCCAAGGTGGTATAACCAGGTCATACGGTAGGTTCATTTTTAGTTTTTTAAGAGTTCTCCACACTGCTTTCCATAGAGGTTGCACAAGTTTGCAATCCCACCAGCAGTAAATGAGTGGAAAGGAGAACTCTTATCC